TGAAGATCTCATATCCAAATAATTTGAGGGGCAGTTTCATTTGATGAAAAATAAATATAAACGTAAGACATTGAAAATATATTTGAATTATTTTATTGAGTGTAGAACAGATGCAAAAGTTTAATTTTTAGTATTTGATTGGAAGTAAAAAATATATATATAGAATAAAATAGTAATGAATTTAGAAATGCTAGTGGCGGTGTCGACTGTTGGTGATGGTAGATGGTGTGGATTACGCTCAGATGGCGTATTCTCAGAAGATGTCGAGGGGCAAGATTCAAGATACTTATCAAATCTATTGGCCTTGAATATCTTAATGATCTGTGCACGCCAGATTGAGTAGTTGTCGCCGGCAAGCTGAATGGAAACTATGGATTTGAGATTAGCGACGACGAACTTCAGAGCGGGAGAAAGAAAAGCTTCAGTCGATCCATCAGCTTCAGGATGATCGCGAAGCTGAGATGTGGCGGAGATCGACATTGCGAAGAGGACCAGGACCTTTCGCAGTCTGATACCATGTGGAAACCGAAAGCAAGAACAAGGAAGAACAGTAGAGAGACAGAAATAAAGAAATGTTAATCTTTAGCCTAGCCTATGAGATATATATATATAGATACAATATCATTCATTCATTCATGTGATTGCTGCCACGTCAGCAATTTGTAATATACATTTATGTTTATTATTATGCACTAATAGATGGCAGTGGCAGCTCGTAATGACTAGCAACGGTGGCAACAATTAGAGGCTTTATTTGGGGCAATTTTTCTTACTGTTTTATGAAGCAATTTTATATTAAAATTTTCAGATTCAAAAAATTTTGCATAAAGAAACTGCTTCATAAAGCAGTAAGCAAGCTATTACCAAACGAAGTTAGAAGACATGCGGTAGACAGCAAGTGGTGGTTGATGATGGTGGGCCATATGTATTTTATTATGCATTAATTTTGCTTAAAACTAAACACCAATAGCTTAAAAATCGATGAGTATGAAACTTTTAACCTTAAACCAAATAGATCCATAATCAAATTGCATACCCTTCATGCACAACAGTGTCTGACTTGGAGAAATTATTCTGTGTGAAGACCGGATGTAGAACCCCGTCCGTAGACCAACCAGAATGCGACATGTCAGCGGTACCGAGCCGCAGTATCAAGCGAGGAGTGACGTGACACATTCTGATTGGTCTCCGAACGATGTTCGTCGTCCGTACACAATAATTAATTGTTAATATATTGACCACTTTGCTATAATTTCTCTTTTTTTTTTGTGGTTGTTTGGGAATTTTGACCAATTTGCGACCACCCCGCAATGACAGACTCTCCCAGTGGGCAAATTATTAGGTCTGGACATCCAATTAAAACTTGCCACATGGACTATTCTTTCATTGTGCTTTAGGTGTGCTTTGACTGCGCTTTAACTGCGTTTTACCTACACTTTACATGAGCTTTACCTGCACTTTTGACGCGCTTGACTTAAAATTCTGCGGACACGTGTACATTCCACATGTTAATATTTTATTGGTATCCGAAAGTATCTCTACGTCCGGTGACTGGACCAAATAATTTTCCCTCCCCGTGACGATTTTGCACTTTGCTTCATTCATTCTCCTTTAACTAGCTTCTCCATCGAGTATAACTACTATCGCTTGTCCTTTTCCATCCAACGAGAGCTGCTTCTAGATGGCTATACCGCCGCCGCTTCGCCGTAACTGGAGCTTGGCAATGATGGCTTCAGCAATAAGCAGTTGTCGTCGGCATCTTCTATGAGGTGGTCGCGGTGGTGGGTAGAGAGATTGGAAGTTCTCGTGTGGCTTTCTTTTAGTAATGATTTTTCAATTTAGCATTTCTTTTTAATGTCTAGCAATTTTTCAGGTTGCCCTTCATGTTTCTTATTCACTTGGCTGCTCAACAAATTTTTTTTATTCATTTATAGATTAAATTAAGAGTTCGATACGTGTTTTTTTGCTCATTTTGACTCGTCTATAAATTAAGAAAAATGTTTGGAGTCAGATAGGATTTGGGTATGTGTTGCTCCCAATTCTTAATTATGTGTGGAATCTAATTCTGTCGATCAATAGGTTGTATTTTTAACTTAGTTCTCAAATCAATCAGTTGAGCTTGCTGGAAGGTTGCAGGGGGCCTCCCTCTGCTTTGGGTTCGTTGGTGTCATGCTCTGAAAAAAAAAATTGTGTACATCTGTAGAAGTCTTTGGAGCTATACATTTGTGCTTATTTAGAGACAGTGAGCAAATTAAGTGTAACGACACTTCAAACCCCGACACTGTGATGTTGCCAGTCAAGCTGGAGACAAATAACAGAGTAATGTGGAGCTCCAAACTCCGTGCCGCATCATTGTGAGTTGGCTAGGTAGTTTTAGTTTTCTCTTTTCAAGTTTAACATGAAGGGTTGCAAATCTTGGTTAAGTTAAGCGCATCTCTTTCTATATTCTCTTGTGTGAATGAATTGAGAAGTAGACAGAGATATGTAATTTTTCTCTCAAATTTTCGTAGTGCATTTCTTGATGTACGTGGTGTGGCTCCATTTTTTGTTTCTTCCCATTTCTAATTTTTCAACATTAAATCATATTATTCTTTTTTCTTTTCCATTATATATTTTCTCTTTCTAGTATGTATTCACTGTTTGATTTACTTCCCACACCAATCTTCTTTGTTTTCATATTTCTTTTCTAGGACTGGTGTCTGGTATATTAATAAACCTGCTAAAATTAATTAACATTGAATAAACGTTCAATTTCTATAAATTTTTTATATCAATTGTTTTAATTTATTAAAGGTGTAAGCATTTAGGCTTCGTTTGGGACAGGGGCGGAACTGTTCATGGCTTAGGGGGGGCAATTGCCCCCCCTTAAAAAAAAAAAAATTATTAGAGAAGGGTAATTTAGTAACTTGACCCCATAAATTTGCTATTTTGCCCCCCCCTTTGCCCTAACCCGCCGATTCCACGAACAAAAAACGACGGGCTTCTCTCCGCTTCGATTATTCGCGTGTGTGGAAGCTGGGTGCAGGGTGATTCGCCGTTCGCGTCTGGCTTCGTGATGAAATCGCATTATCGCAAGGCTTCGTTCATTCGTTGTAGGCAGGATCCTCTTCCATTCGTGGCTTGACTGGCTTCGTGAATCGAAGATTCGCAAATCGCAAGGGCATTCCGACTTCCCTTCAGTGAGATCTAGGTTAGTTTTGATTGTTCTCTTTGTTATTTTTTGTTTGATTTTTTGTTATTTTGATGGATTTTCATACCCAATACAGTAGTTGACATGCAACTTCAAGAGCTAAATAATCGCTTTTCTGAATCAAGTGCTGAGTTACTTCTGTGTATGTCATGCTTAAACCCAAGTGATTCTTTTCGTGCTTATGATGAAAGGAAATTGATATGTCTAGCACAGTTATATCCAAGTGATTTTTCTACAATTGAGGTTATTGCTCTTAAAAATCAATTAGCAACGTACATTATCGATATGCAGACCAGTGAAGAGTTCTCCTCTCTAAGAAGCATTGCTGATCTTGCAAAACAGATTGTTAAGTTCAAGAAGAATGATGTGTATCCTTTGGTTTACAAGCTTATTACTTTATCATTAACCTTACCAGTTGCAACTGCTACGGTGGAGAGAGCATTTTCAGCCATGAAAATTATCAAACATCGATTGCGTAGTAGGATGGGTGATGATTGGCTCAACGATTGTCTTGTGCCTTACATTGAAAAAGATGTATTTGATTTGATTCCCAATGAAGATGTTATCCAATATTATCAAAAAATGCAAAATAGATTGATAAAATTGTAATGATTTTCAATTTTCCTATCATAATGGAATACATGATTTCACTTTGAATTATATCATCTTTTTTCTTATATTAGTCTATTATACAAAGAAAATTTTGCCCCCCCCCCTAAGATGAAAGGCTGGTTCCGCCCCTGGTTTGGGACGGCTTTTTTATTGCTTTCTGAAACGGAGTTTTAGTACAAAAATAAAAAAATTTGTAATAAAACTCCGTTTTAGAAAGCAATAAAAAAGCCATCCCAAACGAAGTCTTAGTGTGATGTAAAAGGAAAGCCAATTAGTGCTGCAAACAAGGTAGTAATGTAAAGCATTTAGTGTGCTGTGAAAGGATAGTCAATTAGTGCTTCAAACAAGGTAGTTAAAATATATCACAAATTGCTATTATCTCCACACATATTATCACATCTCCTTCATACCCTAATTTCTCATTTCATGGGGTTCTCATGGAAGTAGAATTGCTAAGGAATAGCATTATTCTACACTAAGTTCTTCATCATCTCACTCTCTCATCAATTTTTAGTTCTCAAGAAATGAAAATATTACAATGACTAAGATCAAATGTTCATGTCTTCGATATGCTAACAAGCATTTTCATACACGTGATGACATCTCAGTTCATCTTTGCTACATAATATTCATAAAAAATATTCAATATGATATGTCCACGTCGAATCTTCAAGAGGAAGTCCCTTTTATATTAATATGATGAGGAATTCCTGTGGTCCACAAGTTTTTGAAGATGATATAATTGCATATACTTATAATTTTGAAATTATAAAAACAACAAATATAAAAAAATCAAAGTCTTATGATGTAATTGCATATACTAATAAATATTTATGGGATGTTACAAGAGATCGACATTCAAAGTTATCAGTAATTGATGATGTATCTTAAACACTTATTTTGATAAAATACATACTTCTATACTATTATTTAAATAAATATAATATAAATATAAATCATAATATAGATAAATTTATTCTTATAGTGAAGATTTAGATATAATCAAATAAAATGTAGAATAGAATAATGTTGTTTAAATAGAATATGGAATAATGATAGTTAAAAAAATTATAATTTACTTTTAAAACGTGAAGGTTAAGAATTATAATATATATATATATATGGTTAATAGGCTATCACTAATTAGTGATGAGTGTGAGGGAGAGAGAGAGAGAAATACTAACCGGTGAGAGAGAGAGAGAGAGAGAGAGAGAGAGAGAGAGTGAGTGTGTGTGTGCGTGTTGAAATTTAGGTGGAAGAGCGGGCATTAATTTGTTCTTTAAAAGCCCCGGCGTCTCTTACAGAAAGTCACCCCATCCAAGTCAGGATCAACCGTCTGTTCTCTTGCTTTCATTCTGCTCTCCTCACCTCTCGATAGCCTTCCTGATCTGATCTCGTTCGTTCTCCTCTCCTCATCTCTCGATATTCCTCCATCCCTTCTTCTACTTTCCCCAATGGCACCAGGAGCCACCCTTGAAGAAGACAACAACAACCCCACAACTAGCTTCCCGCAATATCTCTCTGATCTTGACCTCAGCTTCACTAGCAGCTCCGCCTCCACTTCTTCCTTTGCCACCACGTTCGGCGGAGGCCCATCCAGCGCCCGCAGCAGCCTCAGCCTCACCCTTCCCTCCTCCTCCTCCTCCTCTTCCCTCAACCCCCTCCCCCACCGTCGCCTCGACCCCCACTGGTCCGCCCTTCGCGCCGCCTCCAACCTCTCCCCAGACGGGGCTCTCCACCTCCGCAACCTCAAACTTCTCCGCCACATCGGTTCCGGCAACCTTGCTCGCGTCTTCCACTGCCGCCTCCACGGCTTCGACCACCTCGACTTTGCTCTTAAAGTCGTCGACCTCGACGCCACCAAAAGTGCCCTTTCCCACGTGCGAGCCGAGGCACACGTTCTTGCCCGCCTCGACCACCCCTTCCTCCCCACACTCTATGCCCGACTCGACGCCTCTCACTACGCCTGCTTCCTCATTGACTACTGCCCCGGCGGCGATCTCCACTCAATCCTCCGCCACCACCCTAGTCATCGCCTTCCGCTTTCCGCCGTCAAATTCTACGCTGCAGAGGTCCTCCTCGCACTCGAATACCTGCACGCACTTGGCTTCGTTTACCGGGACCTGAAGCCTGAGAACGTCCTCCTTCGCTCCGACGGCCACGTCATGCTCTCTGACTTTGACCTCTGTTTCCACTCTGACGTCTCCCCTGTGCTTCACCGCCGGAGTCGTGGCAGAGACGCTGTAGAGCTGGAGTTCGTGGCGGAACCGGAGTCGGCTTTCTCCCGCGCATGCGTGGGGACACACGAGTACCTCCCACCAGAGATCGTCGGGGGCTCCGGCCATGGTAACGGCGTTGACTGGTGGGCATTTGGGGTTTTCATCTACGAGTTAATCTATGGCCGGACGCCGTTCAAGGGAGGGAGCAAAGAAGCTACTTTGAAGAACATTCTCTCCAGGGAGGTGGGATTTCCCGACGCTGGGGCGGACCAACGACGTGCGGTGGTGACGGCAAGGGATCTGATTTCGCGACTGCTGGAGCGGGATCCGCGGCGGAGGATGGGGAGCGTGAAGGGGGCAACGGAGATCAAGCGGCATCCGTTCTTTCATGGTGTGAGTTGGGCGCTTATTCGTATGATGAAGCCGCCGGTGGTGGTGGGGCACGCCGGCAGCTCCGTGAGAAGGAAGGTTTCAAGGGAGCGAAAGCGGTGGTGGACGTGGAAGTGGAGCAGTTGTAATAGTAAAAGAAATGATAAAATTGTTGTTTACCGGAAGAAGGTGAAGGAAATGAAAGGGAAACAGTGATTCCTTGTTCTCTAGCTGTTATGTTCACCTGTGTAGTTTTGGGAGGAGTCTTTGTACAGACATGTGCTTGTAAATTTCTTTTTTAATAATACCTATTAAATGAATTATTTTTAGCCTAATTATAGTAATGCATGATTCAAATAATCCTATTAAATGGATGTTTTTTATTGCAAGAATTCAGATTTTAAGACAAAATTAAATATATTATATTTAAATTTTATGTTATTATTTTCTTCTATTTTATTGGTGACTAGGAAAATAATCAAAATATTCATTGCTATAAAAAAATAAAAAAATCTTGGGCAATGCAATCAAGGAGGGAATAGAGAAGGGGTCGAGGTCTCCATTACGAACAGAGATCACTAGAGTTTTAGTCACAGTGAAAGTCAAGAGGCATGGTCGCGAAGGTCTTCATATTGCAAGGTCAAGCATCAAGGCAAATGCAGTCATGCCTATACAAGGATGAGAGATCTTTTTCGAAAGAATTTGTTACAATAGGGGATTTTTCATCGTGAAGAGATTTCAAGGTTGAGAGGGGAGGTCACCAATGTCTTCGAGCAAGATAACCGGCATCACACATTGTTGTTTATATTATAATTTAGTTTCTTCACATATGTTGTATTTGATATTTGAAATTCATTTGATTCTGCAAAATTCTACCAACAACAATAATGAGCTTAAGAAGAATTACAAATTTCATGAGAATACCATGAATTTGATGTACTTTTAGCTAAACATCAAAAATAGTAAAACCCTTAACATTTATTTTGCATTATATTGATAAAATTTGCACCAAAATAATCCCTAAAATAGGATTTTTGTTTCGTGACATTTTGATTATGG